TTTTTTTTTGTATGAGATAAAGCATTGTGAACGTGTTTTTCCTTTCCATGACTATGTGGGGTTATTTTACATTTTTTACCTAAAAATTTTTGTGCATGACTTAGTCATTATATTGAAAAATATACATAAGAACTATTAAAAAGGAAAAATTTTTAGAAACTGAAGTATTCCATTTCACTGTTTTTACAGATTTCTTTTTCTGTGTGACTTTTTTACATTTGATTAAAATTCTTTCTGTGGTTGAAGCTTTTTCTTTATCAAAAAGAACTTATAAACTTTTTGACTAGTTAATCTTTATAACTTTACATTTGGAAACCTATTCTTTTCTTTATTTTCTACAATAATCACTTCAGTTTTCTAATTGTTTTCTCAACGATCTTGATTTTTCAACTAAGTTATCTTAATTTTTTTGAGGAATGCAACTTTATCTTAACTGTCTCCCCCCCCCCTTTTTTTTTTTTTTTTGCTATTGGGGATTGAACTCAGGGTCGGTTACTCAATCACTGAGCCACACCACCACACCACGACCCTGTTTTATATTTTATTTAGAGATAGGGTCTCACAGAGTTGCTTAGCACCTTGCCTTTGCTGAGGCTGGCTTTGATTTCAAAATCCTCCTGCCCCAGCCTCCAAACCACTGGGATTATAAGCATGTACCACTGAGCTCAGCCTTCACCTTAACTTTCAAATCTAATATTGCTATTATTATTATGCAGTTGTTTCTGTTTATAAATTTGAATTAATTTAATTGAACTTAGGTTTTGTTGTGTTTTAAGTATTATGAAATAATCTTTCAGCCATGGAAACAAAGAAGTATTTTCCTGCCGAGGAATAAAATTGGCAGTGGATTGGTTTTTGGAAAGAGGCCATAAAGATATTACAGTTTTTGTTCCTGCTTGGAGAAAAGAGCAATCCCGACCTGATGCTCTCATTACAGGTAAGCTCATTACAGGCAGCTATTTGTTCCTAGCTTCTGTATAATACCTATGTAGATCCCTTAACACTCAGGTATTCTTAATCCAGTTCTGTTTATTCTATATGATTGCAATTGTCTTGTGTGGGACATTAAAATTGTTTTCAGGTTTGAAAATTATCTAATTAACTGAACACTAATCTTTACTACGTGAGTCAGGGGTTTTTTCATTTATATGGAAACTTTGACTTTTTAAAAATATTTTTTTAGTTGTCAATATACCTTTATTTTTATTTTATTTTATTTATTTATATGAGGTGCTGAGAATTGAACCCAGTGCTTCACCAATGCTAGGCAAGCACTCCACCACTGAGCCAAAACCCTAACCCCTAAAATTCTGACTTTTAGAGACATGCTGAGACAAGAAGCCTTCTCTACCTTTGCCATTTACTAGCAACAGAACTTTGAGCACACTGAGCCTCTGAACCCCACTTTTCTCAAATGCTGTAAGAAATTAGACTAGATGCCGGTCAAGTTCTAATGGTTACAAGTTAAAAAAAGACCTCTAAGACCACAGAATATTCTGTCTGGTTAAGAAGAAAATGAGTAGTCTCAATAAACTATTTATATTCATACTTTATATTAGTTCATAATTTTTAAATGTATGAGTTTCAGGTAGAGATGTCCTTTGTAACATCAGCATCCAACCCTTCCTGTCCTTTTTTCCACCTCTAATATTAACAAAATCTGTGAGGCAACTCTGGAGGAAACCATAAAACTTTTCAAATCAACAACAAATGACCACCTATCATATACCCAAAGGGGTAGATTACTTTAAGTGTTCTTTTTATTTTCAATTATTAAAGTCATTGTCAAATTATGATAAAATGTGTAGACAGCCAAGGGTGAAGTCCAAAGCTATGGACTCACATAAAAATGTGAGAGCTGGCATAATTCTGCTAAAAGTACATGATGTTGGAATAACTCTTTGGAAAAAACATACTTGTTTAGATTTTTATCTTATGCCCTATAATAATAAATTCCAGATATTTGAAGAGGTAATTGTCAAAAATTAAACCATCAAAGACTAAAAGTTGTCTTTGAGTGGGAGAAGGCCTTTCTAAATTTAAAAATTTTAGAAGTAATTATGAAGGAAAAGATAGATGTAATTACATAAAAAATGTAAGCTTCTACCTTTGCAGAAACTTTCTTAAGAACTCATCAATTATATAAGAAAAACTGCAACAAATAAAGAATTCATGTTCTTAACGTAAAATGCAGTTCTGTTATGAATGCATAAACATTTCCTACGTTTAATTTGTTTAATTTGTGCACTGTTCTGACTAGTGTGATGAAATCTAATGCTGTCCTGCTCCGTCCTATCCAGAGCATGAATCTCATCCCACTGTTCAGCATATCAACACTGTGCTGCCCACCCATTTCTTACTTGGTAGCCTTCTTGGGTTATCAGATTGACTATTGTAGTGCTTGTGCATAAGTAATCCTTATTTTTCTTAATAAAGTCCTAAAGCTCAAAGAGTTATGCTGCCAATTTGGGTATGCTAAAGAGAAGCTGTAAAGTAATTCTTCTAAGTGAAAAGGTGAAAGTTCTTGACTTAACAATATGCTGTTACTGAAATCTATACTACAATAAAATATTTTGAGAAAGACCACGTTCAACATAACTTTAACAGTATATTGTTATAGTTATACTATTTAATTATTAATTATTGATTTTTACTGTGCCTAATATATAAACTGAACTTTGTGGGAATGTATGCACAGAAAAGTGCAGAATATAGAGAGTTAGGTACTATCTGTGGTTTTAGAGATCCATTGGGAGTCCTGGAACATACATATCCAGGATGGGTGGGTGTGGCTACTGTATTTTTAGACCTACTAGTTCATCTTTTAGGAATAATTCCCCGCCCCCACCCCACTTCCCAAAAATAGCAGAGCTCATAGGCAAAGATTATGACCAAAGATATTCATTGTTATATTATCTTGAATAGAAAAAAAAATGAAAAAAAAATTATAATTTTGTTAAAAGAATCTATAAATTAGGATTGATTGATATAATAGGTGGAATATTTAGGCAGAAATTTTAAGGGGACATATTCTTTCACATTAATGGTCTGGGGTTTTGGGTTGTTGTTTATGTTTTGGTACTGGGGATTGAACCCGGGGATATTTTACCTCTGAGCTACATTCTCAGAACTTTTTAGTTTGAAACAGGGTCTTGCTACTTTGCTGAGGCTGACCTTGAACTTGCAATATTCTTGCCTTAGCCTCCAGAGTCTCTATGATAACAGGCATGCAGCTACTGTGCCTGGCTCAATGTTTAAGAATATAAATGACTTGCAGGCTTCTTAAGTAGGAAAAGAATAAAAATCAAGAAGGAATAATGATAATATACATGTGAAGTGTGGCTGAGTTTGATTTAAAAACACCAGCATACCAGGTCTCTGAAATTCAATATGCACTTTACTTAGTAAAATGCCAGAACTGTTTAGAGGCTTTTAAGAGTTTTCTCTCCAAATATAATAATTTTCTTGACTAAAGCCCTCATTCAGGTAAACCTGATAAATTGAATAGTCCAGTGCTCACAGTGCACCAAAAATAATTCAAAAAAATATATATATTAAAGGTTTCAGATTCAGGCTAGCACTTTTGCCAATCTTCTCCCCCATCCCCTCCCATGATACCAGGGATTGAACCCAGGGGCACTTAACCACTGAGCCACATCCCCAGCCTGTTTTTTATTTTTTATTTTGAGACAAGGTTTACCTTAGTTGCTGAGGCTGGCTTTGAACTTAGGATCCACGGCCTCAGTCTCCTGAACTACTGGGATTACAGACATCTGCCCCTGCACCCAGCTCTTCTTCCATTTATTTTAACAAATACTTACTAAGCGCTATCTATGTTAACTTACCAGCTATACTGAACCTATATTGAGGTTAGGATTATTTATGTGTCATCCAGTTAATTGTCCCTTCAACCTCATTAGCTGTTCTATAAATTCAAATTAAGCAAGATTGTGTTGATTATTAGGCTGCCACATTTATTCCTGCAGTCTCTTTATCAAGGCTTAAGGAATACCAGATGTCAGTAAATACCCTCCTGAATAATGAGGTACCATGGATCACTCATGCATATAATACAGTGAATACACTGGAAGTTTTCAGAGTATACATCTTCAAGTAGCTCGTTTATTCATTCATTACATAAATATTTATTGAGCATCTACTGATATATTTCATTTCATGGGCTTGGTGCTAATGGATACAAAGATAAATGAGACATGGTACCTGTCCCCAAAATCTTTATGAGGAAAACACAGTAATTGTGATATAGTGACTTTTGTCTGGACTTTTGTTTTCAAATTGGTTTTCTCTGATTTTTTAAAAGAGATCCGACAATTACATGTCTCTATTAAGTTGAAGAGCACAGTGTTTATTAAGAATTTGCCAGGCACCATGTGGTGTCCTTTACTCATGTTAACTCGTTTACTCCTCATAGGCTTGCCACTGCATTTGCAGACATAAAGAAACAGTCTCAATGAGATTATGATTGCCAGATGTAAGAAGTGAGAGAATCTGAGATTTATCCATGGTTTGCTAATTCTAACACCCTTATATCTTCCATTACTGCTTTGCTGATTTTTTAAACCAAGTTCTGGTTTTAATGAATTCATTTGTGAGGACCATCATCCAATTCATATTAGAGCTAACCCATATCACTCCTCCATTTCCTCTTCCTGTAGAGCCTGCTCATATTTCTGCAATGGCAATTATACTTTTGCTTACCTAGTTTGCATGTTTGTCTGATCCAGTAAGACTGTGCCCTCTTTGAGGAGATGACATTAACCTTGGTGGTTCTTGATACCTAGCACAACACATGCCACAGAGTAGGCATGTAGTAATTGTCTGTTGAAAAGATTTATTTTTTTTTAATTACTAACTGGCTATTTGTTGCCACATTTCAGAGAAAAAGACATAGAACTTATAATAGCCAATATTTCAACTTTCTTGAGCTTTCTGCCTCCTTTTTATTGAACTTCTTTTATATTTTAACGTTTCCCTTGACTATCTCTACTACATGTACTACTACTTTTCAGATTCTCCTACCATCACACCAACCAGTTAGAAAAACAAACAAACAAACAACAACAACAACAAAAAAAAACTACAAAATACACAAACTTGGGAGGAAAATACCTTCTGCTCTCTCTTAAACCCAACTCATATGCTTTGTTAGAGTGTCATTGTAGCAGTAATGCTGCTGGTTTTATAGCTTAGCTGTTCTATAAATTTGCTAAGAGCAGGCTTTTAGTAAAAGCTTCATGGAATGAAAATCAGAATTTTCTCAATCACATTGAGGTTTATGCTGATCAGGTTTTGTTGTTTTATTTTGTTTTACTATTCTTAAAGCCTTAAATTCCTGGGAAAAAAAATATTCTAGGGAGTTACAAATTTTGCTACATCTACCAACTATGAATCATAATCTCTAGTTAAATGATTACATATATTCCAGTTCATTAAAAACAATGTATGAAAGTTTTCATTCTATATGTTATATATTTATGTATTCCTCAAATTCTGCCCTTACTATTCTTGCAGATCAGGAAATTTTACGCAAATTGGAAAAGGAAAAAATCCTGGTGTTCACGCCATCCCGGCGAGTCCAGGGAAGGCGAGTGGTGTGCTATGATGACAGGTTCATTGTGAAGCTTGCTTTTGAGTCAGATGGTATAATTGTGTCCAATGATAACTACAGGGATTTGGCTAATGAAAAACCAGAATGGAAGAAGTTCATAGATGAGCGGTTATTAATGTATTCCTTTGTCAATGACAAGTAAGTAAACCAATGCTCTTGCTTCCTTGAAAATATAACCGTACCTGGCAGCTGTTAAGAATCCTTTTTATTTTATGGTGCCCAGACCTGAGACGGGTTTCTTCCAACAACTGATCTCCTACTGATCCTCAGTGGTAGTCAGAAAAACTGCAGACTTGTGCTATGGAAGGCTTTGCATGAACGAAGGCCCCTGCCCTTCCCTGAAACCTCTAACAGAGCACCTGAGGCCAAGAAAGTTTAAACTCTGAGGGTGAAGAACTCCCATCTTCACCCTGAAAAAGATACTTTTCACAAGTCAACTTAGAGCATTGATAGCTTACTAAAGGCATGATTTTTTAAAGTTTGCAAAACCAATATAAGACTCTAGTCATAGTCACAGTCTACAAGTTGATGAATGGACAAATGACATGAACCAGCATGTTACATAGAAATGAATATATTTATAAATATGAAGAAAAATATCATCTTTGAATAATAAAAAATGAAAACCAATCTAAAAAGTATTTTATTTCTCATCTTTTTTAAATAATTTTATTTTTTTATTTGTTTTTAAGTGGTGCTCAGGCTTGAACCCAGTGCCTCACACATGCTAGGCTGAGTGCTGTACCACTGAGCCACAACCCCAGCCCCTCACCTATTTAATTCACAAAAAATATTTTTGTGTGTGCCTTATGCTTTTAAAGATGCATGTAAACTGATGTACATTTTAGCAAAATTTAGCAGAAGCTTCAAAAATATGTTTGCCCTTTCAATCCAATATTCTCATTTCTTGAAATATATAATGAGGAAAAAAGAAAAGACCAGGTATGTTTGTTTTTGTATTGTTTATAATTGCAAGAAGTCAAAGGAAACTAAAGATGCAGTAGAGAAAGCAATCACGTTACAGTGCATATCCTACTGGAATATTATTCATCTGTTCATAATTATTATTATGAAAGCTATTAATAAACATGGAAAAATATTTTTATGTTAAAAAGATAAAGCAACAAAAAGAAACAAGAAAAAGAAAACAAACAAAAAAGACAAAGCATGGAAAATAATTGTATTAAAATAGTGTGTTTGTTGTGACTTGGTCTTTTATTTTTTAACTTTTATGTTGATACATTGTTTTCATGATAGCAAACACTGTTTTTGCCAACTGTTTATTACTCAGCCATTTTGACATTTCCCTAAGAGTTCATACATTACTTGCATTATTCTTATTTTGTAGATAACTACTTAGGCTTATTTCAAGTTCTAGCAGTATCATGACAAGTAGTATAATTCTTCAATCATAATTTCTTTTTATCATGTACACTATAAATTTTTTTCTCCATTGTACAGTCAATTCAAATAATAATAAGTTTACTTCCTTAAGATTTTTTATCCATTTCATCTAAGAAGTACATTTACTATAGTAGGAAGAGAATAGACTTTGAACAGTCAGTCATAATTGAATATTTCCTATGTTATGAGACACTAGATAAAAATTACTTAATTCTTTTATATCTAAATTAGAAAATTTTATTAATCTGTAAAACGGAGCTAATACTTCATGGGATTATTGCATGTAAAGTATCTGACACATAACTGGTGTCCAACAAGTCCCTGTGTTCTCACTGTATTCCCCTCTCTTCCCCTCCCTTCCTCAGATGGTCCGTCTTACTCCCCACCTGCTTCATACAACTTCATAGCACAGATATTTACAGAACTCTCATAAAATTTCGTTGTAATCACTTTCTGAAATCCTTAAAAAAAAATCCCAGCATTCCGCTGAGAAGAAAAAAATTAAAAGACGCTAGACTCAAAATTTGTTTGAATTAAAAAACATACAAGTTCAGCTTAAGATATTTTACTTTAGTTTCTAAGAAAGAAGAAATTTCTGTAGTGTTTGTCATTTTTTTACTCTGTAAATATTGAATCAAAAACTTGGATTAAAATTTCAAATTAGAGTAAATAAATCTTTGTACAGTATCTTTAGAATTAAATTATTAACCTCCTATTTAAGTATCATTTTTTACTATCTCCATGTTAGGTTTATGCCCCCTGATGACCCTCTTGGCAGACATGGCCCAAGTCTGGATAATTTTCTGAGGAAGAAACCTATTGTTCCTGAACACAAAAAGCAGCCTTGTCCATATGGTAACTTTCTTTATGAATACTTAACATTTATATTTAGAACACAATATATTGTTAAACTTTTGTTAATAAAAGTCAGCATTTAAAATTTTGGATGGCATAATATGTGCTTCTTTTGATTGTAATTAAATTTAAGAAAATCCCTTATTTTTACCTATTTGGCTTCAATATGAATATGAATTGCCATGAACTAAAATATGGTTTGAAAACTCAGTTAATTCTATATGATGTTTTTAGGTGGGTAAAAAATTTAGAATTCATCTATCTAGACACAAATTAGATAAGCATGGCTTTATTATAATATAGCAGCACAGTTATTCTTCTAAACAGAATTTCCTACCTGATTATATAGTCCCACTGGAAGAGAAGAGGCAAGTGTGAGTCGAGAACATATGGTATTAGCCAAAAGCTGTGAGGTCATCACTAATCATTTGGCCAACTTTCTTACTGCTCTTGCTAGTAAGAAAATGAAGACTAAAAAGTGACATTTCTCATGAGTATGGAACAGAGAATAACACTTAGCGCATCTCCCATTTCTGCTTTCTTTCACAAGTTAAAATACTAGTGCCATGATGATTTTTCAGAATCTGATGGTACGCTACTTTACCTAACTAATTTTACTCTTCTTAGGAAAGAAGTGTACCTATGGACACAAGTGCAAATATTACCATCCCGAAAGGGGCAGTCAGCCTCAGCGGTCAGTGGCTGATGAACTTCGTGCCATGTCTAGAAATACAGCAGCCAAAACTGCAAATGAAGGAGGACTGGTGAAAAGCAACAGTGTTCCTTGTAGCACAAAGGCTGATAGCACTTCTGACGTCAAACGAGGTGCTCCAAAGAGGCAATCAGATCCAAGCATAAGGACTCAAGTCTACCAAGACCTAGAAGAAAAGCTTCCCACCAAAAACAAATTGGAAACCAGGTCTGTACCTTCCTTAGTTAGTATACCGGCTACTTCTACTGCAAAACCCCAAAGCACTACATCTTTAAGCAATGGCCTTCCATCTGGAGTTCATTTCCCACCTCAGGATCAAAGACCACAGGGACAATATCCTCCAATGATGATGGCAACCAAAAATCATGGAACGCCAATGCCTTATGAACAGTATCCAAAATGTGACTCACCTGTTGACATTGGATATTATTCCATGTTAAATGCATATTCAAATCTGAGTATCTCAGGCCCAAGAAGTCCTGAAAGGCGTTTCTCATTAGACACAGACTATAGAATAAGTTCTGTAGCTTCTGACTGCAGCAGTGAAGGGAGCATGAGCTGCGGGAGTAGTGACTCGTATGTGGGGTACAATGACCGATCCTATGTCAGTTCTCCTGACCCCCAGCTGGAAGAGAATTTGAAGTGTCAACACATGCACCCTCATAGCCGCCTTAATTCCCAGCCTTTCCTGCAGAATTTCCACGACCCCTTAACCAGAGTGCAAAGTTACAGTCATGAAGAACCAAAGTTCCATCACAAGCCTCCTCTTCCACACTTGGCTATGCATCTGCAGCACCCTGCTGTGGGTGCCCGGTCTAGCTGTCCTGGTGATTACCCCTCTCCTCCAAGTTCAGCACACTCGAAGGCACCACACCTAGGAAGGTCCCTAGTGGCTACCAGAATAGACAGCATTTCTGATTCCAGACTCTATGACAGTTCTCCTTCAAGACAAAGAAAGCCTTACTCCCGTCAGGAAGGGTTGGGAAGCTGGGATAGGCCAAGTTTCGGAATGGATGCCTATGGGTATCGGCAGACTTATTCCTTGCCTGATAACTCCACACCACCGTGTTATGAGCAGTTCACCTTCCAGAGCCTACCTGAACAGCAGGAGCCCACCTGGAGAATACCATATTGTGGAATACCACAAGATCCTCCAAGGTACCAAGACAACCGGGAAAAGATTTATATCAACTTGTGCAACATCTTCCCACCTGACCTTGTGAGAATTGTCATGAAAAGAAATCCTCACATGACAGATGCCCAGCAGCTTGCTGCAGCCATTTTAGTGGAGAAATCACAGCTGGGTTATTGAAAGATGATGCATCATTGTGGTGTTTAGTAGTTTTTTGTTCAGCTCAAATGCTGAGGGAGGTTTGCTACAATAGCACATGTGATCTCCTTCTCAGCAAGGAGGTTATATAGTATCCATTTATGTGAAATACTGTATCATGGAATCTGTATGTATAGCCCCACTTGGTGGAAGTATCACGGGATTGCTTTACATTCAAACTTTTTTTTAAACATTTCCTTTTTAAAGCTATATCCTTGGCTGGAAAATTTTCCAGTTTGATTTAATAGATGTATCTGTGATCTTTGATATTAATCTTTGGTGCATCAGGGGTTTATATGCAGCACTTTTTATCTTTGTTTCATGTTTTATTAACTTGGTGTTTATCTATCAATCGCAAGCAATTATAATACCTTCAGAATGTGGAAACTTTGACTAGACCTAGCAAACTATTTTTTCAAGCCAAGCTTAATTAGAATCTTTTACAGCTTTTTAAGTTATTTTTATTTGGGGAAAGTGGGCTTCTTTGTGCTATAATCATTATTTATAGAAACAAAGATATACTACAGCACTGACTTTATATTTTAGACAAAATGTAAGTTACCGGTTTATGTTGAAAAGGGTAACAGTATATATTAGAATGATTTCAAATATGGCACTTTTCACTGTTGTATTTTTGTTTGGATTTTTTCTGTTAAGAATTAGTTAACTTAATATGGTCAGTTTAAGAGAAAGCAGATGCAATCAATGGAAAAAATCATTTCCATTTTTTAATTTTTATTTTTTTATGAATAAGGCAAAAGCCGTAACTGTTACAGGTTAGAGCTTTGTTATCCAGCTATGATGTGCTTCTAGACAGTAGGAATGGAATTGAATTCCTCGATTTCCATTAACCCGTATTTTTAATGTCTATTTGTTTGGGGGGCACAACAATACTGGATAAATAACCCTTTCACAGTACTTGCCTGTTTTTAATGAATCTAATTATTCTCAATGCAACTTTTATATTTAATATACTCTAGCTTTCCTGCTATTTATCAAGGCTGGCCTGAGGTGGTTTTATGTGTTGAGGATATGCAACATTTATTGATACTGCACTATAGAAGTGGTGATGGAGGAGTGTAAATGGTAACTTAAAATTTTTGTAAGATACTGTATATTTTCCATTTCCTGAAGGTAGTTTTTTTTGGGGGCCTGTTATATTATTAAGGCCAGACTCTTGCCACAAATAGTGTAGTTTTAGATACAGACTAAAGTCTGTTCTAGTATTAGTAAGGGATATTTCTGGTTTTAAAGTCATGGGTTTTGCTTGTTGCAGTTACATTTCTATGGACTAGAAGATAGATTTTGCAGTCAGCGGCAGTCAGTCGTGTGATTGACATAACTTGACTGTTCCCTCCAGATTCTGGATTTTACTTAGTGTAGCAGACACATTCAGATCTATTTTTACAGTCTGCCTGGATGCTCTGGTCATTTGGATTATTCCACATGCCATAGTTTGAAGTAAAGCCCTGAAAAACCAGAAAGTACCTTTTACTGTTGATACAAATTGTATCTTTTTAACTATAAGAACTATTTTGATTTGTAGATCTAGTAAAAAACACAAATGTGTAACTATGATTAGACTTTTGGGCAACATTTTATCCCTTATTTAAATACAAATTTTTAAAGTAAAATTGAGGTCTAGAATAGGGTAGAAAATAAAAGTAACAATTTAGGTAAATAAAAGTGTCTGTCTTAGTTTTATATAATATATTAAAATATATTAAATAAATTTATTGGCATTTTCTTTCTCCTAAAACTTATATAGTCTGAACTTAAAATAAAGGTAAAATGCTGCCTGAAAATAATGTCCAAGCATCTTTGACTAGGATAACATTTTCACTACTTGTGTGACACTGTGTGTTGCATGAAGTAGGATTTGGGTATACAGTAAATGCTTCTAAAAGGCATTGTGCATTATTGACATATCCAATAATCTGAACCATGTTCAGCAAACTTAATTCAGGAAAGTGATGTTCTACACAATTATTGCTGTTGTGTTTGAAGTGAGTGTGGCATGCATCTGTACCCAAAAGTAATGCAGGTGACGCCACACAGACCATTTTGAGTGGTGTCTGAGCAACCCGTACTCACTTGTGAAGTTGTTTTCCTTGATTTTGTCAGTCATTATCTACAGAACAAGTTTAAATACAGAAGCTAAATGCGTGCCAAAAGTAGGGTTACAGATGTGTAGTATGTTTTATGTTAGTCATAATCTAAGATTATATAGTATAAAAATCACTTTTAAATTATTCTTGTAGGTTTTGCTTCCGTTTTCTTTGTAGCATTTTAATTATTTGAAGATAGCCAAATATTACTAAATTGTTTTAAATGAGATTTTAGGTGAAATGGATATAACTTTTTAAATTTGACCTTTTAATATTTTTAGTGGCTATTTGTCATGATTGTTTTGGGAAAATAATGTACCCTGCCATCACTTGTACTGAAGTGAGTAGCCCTGAACTACCCACAAATCTTCCAGTATAATTAGTTGTAAAAAAATAGCCATTTTCTCGGGGCTGGAGTTGTGGCTCAGCAGCAGAGCACTTGCCTAGCATGTATGAAGCCCTGGGTTCAATTCTCAGCACCGCATATAAATAATAAAAATGAATAAAGATTAAAAGGTCCATCAACATCTAAAAAAATATTTTAAAAAAAGAAATAGCCATTTTATTATATCAAAAGGACAATTTGTTCCTATTTTTTTTAAACACCAGTGTTGCTTTCAGAGTTTTAAAATAAGATAATTGGCAGACTTTGGGTATAGCAAACTCTTGTTTATCTTAATACCTAAAAGCAGTACATTGTCAAATTAAATCTACAGCTGATCGAAAACCTTCATTTAAGCAAAAAACTTTCTCCCTAATTCATAATCCCTATTTATCAGACTTGCTAATAAATAACTAGAAAGAGGTGTGTGAATAAGTAGTGAAATTGCCAATAATGGTCAGCTGAATAGGAAAAAAAAAGAATTCAGACTGGAATATTCTGCCCCTGAATAATTGTCAGTTGACTGTACTTTATACAGTAATTAGCCAGTCTGTTGTCTCTGTGTCTTAGTCCAGAGGGAATAGTATCCAACTGGCCATATACTGGCCCTTAGTATTTCCTCCTTTCTTGCATGTGATGCAGACATTTTTGGTCTCGTTTTTATGATCTCTGTATCCTGATAGAGTTTGTCATTGACTTAAACATTGAAAGAAATGCTCACCAGTATAAAATATTTAATTCTGGTGGAAACTTGAATTTTGTGTTTTTATGAAAATGCATTTATGAGAATATGTAATATAACTAAAGAAGAGTGTTTTATATATATACATATACACATACATACATATTTGTTATGAAGTATTAAAAATGGGGGGGGTCCTTTGATGGCTAACATTTCTGTAATTGAATGTTTCACTGAGTTGTAGATGACCAAGTCTAGTGTCTGGATGACCAATGATAGGATTTAGAACCACTTAAAAGGAAAGCAACTCTTCTCTGGTTTTATTCCTGATATTTTTAAAGAATTATTTTGATAATTTTAATAGATGTGTAATTTTAAAATACACAAAAAACTTAAAGTAGTATTGATTATACAAATGATTATTTAACATGTTTTGTGGATGTAACTATATGTATATAGACAGTAATATATTTATAAAACAAATCTACTTTATGTTGTAGTTCTTTATGGTAAGTGGGAAGATGCTTCTGTGTGTGTGTGTGTGTGCTTATGTGTGTGTTTTGGAAAGTCTAAGCCTTTTCATGCCTGATTTAATGGCTTTTATATATTTGGTTTTATTATTATTTCTATCCAGCTTCCTTATTCAAGATAAATACGATGTACAATTTCTGGCCATTCTGTTGGCACGTGACCCATCCATTTTATTATTATCTGTAATAATTCATAGAGTGCCTGAGTGACCTGAAATAAAACAATTTTTTTGCTAGAGATAATGCTTATGTCCCAAAAGACAAAAATTTATCTGTGATGTTGAGCTTTCAGTCCACCAACAAATATGATGAACTATAAAAACAAGCTGAAATATTCATATATATTAGAATTAGAGAAAGCTGAGTGTTAATAAAGGCAAAGTAGCATGCATTATTTTGTTTGGTTTAGGAAAATGCCCTAGAGCAAGTGTTGACAAACTTTTTCTATAAAAAGAATCAAATAGTAAATAATTCAGGTTTTGAGAATTAAATGGTGTCTCTCTCTCTCTCTCTCTCTCTCTCTCTCTCTCTCTCTCTCTCTCTCGTATGTGTGTGTGTGTGTGTGTGTGTGTGTGAGAGAGAGAGAGAGAGAAAGAGAGAGATAGACATACTAGGCAAGTGCTATACCACTGAGCTACATCCCCAGCTTTCAAATGGTCTCTTAAAAAAAAAAAAAAAAAAACTGCTCACCTTCCTTCATCTTAATAGCAAAAACACAACCAGGGACAATATGGAAATAAAAGAGTTGGCTGTGTTCCAATAAAACTTTATTTACAGAAATAGGCAGCAGGCCAGATTTGCCTTGTGGGCCATTCCTGGTTCCTGCCTTTGAGGGAGAAAAACAGACGCTGTGAGTAGTAAATCCTGATATATGTTATTATTAGAAATAATAATTTATTTCATCTGACATTCAGAGAAAAATCAGATAGTTATTGATGTTCTTCAAAGGATGATTGTGATACAGTCATATTAAAGCACCTTAATGCATTTATGTTTTTAAGATGTTCACACCATTATTTATTAGATATTTCTTGTGTTTAAACACACATACACACACACAAACTATAAAAAAGATAATAAGTCTTGAAATTTTTTTCATGAGCTTTGTATTTCTGTTGATAAGTATGAGTTCTTTAAGTTATCTTTTGTTTTTTAATGGCCTCTTGGACAAAAAAAACTATTGTATTTTGAAAATTAGCGTATAATTAGCTACAAATTTTTTAACTGCATTTATCAGTTTTTTCTGTTAGTTTTGGCCTCTACTAATTGACAGATCTGTTCTTTGAAAATGATTTTAAAGAAGATAAACAGGCTGCAATTTCACATTTTAGTTTTTCTCTGTAAAATTAAAAATTGTGACTATATAATGATATCTATAATGTGAATGTTACAAGTGACTATAAGAAACAGTGTATCTCTGCTTTCTCTGTCCAAATGTTTAGATTTTTAGACACCATAGGGCTATCCATGATGAATGATATTCTTAATGTGATGATGTGTAGTTCTGAATTCCTTGAAAGTACACACTGCTGGGCATCCTCATTCACAGTGTTCACATTCATGGTGTTTCAGCACAAGCATCATAAGAATATTAAATTGATGTGAAAGTTACTATTCACTTAAATAGTTATGCTTTATTTTAAAATTGGAATACAATTCTACCTTTTAACAGTGTTTATTGTTTTGTCTATTTTTGTCTATTTTGTCTATTTTTGTTCCTGTTATAACAGTACTGTTATATTAGAAGTGGCTTTTTCTCTAATAATCTTTAGATTTAAAAACAATTTAAGGCTCTCTATTGACCATTTGGCAAAGAAAATATCTGCATGTTTTAATTTAGTTAAAACTTGTAAAGTTTTACTTTTTAAATCATGTAATAATTTTTCTGCCTGGGTATTTCAGGAAAAAAATGTTGACCATTAACGCCTTGGCCACCTGTTTTTCTAAAGCAGCTTATGTCTCAAAGGAAAAAGATATTGAAGAGTAATGTTTTGGTTTTGTAAAGAATATGTTTTCGATTTCCTTTGGTTTTTTTAATCATAAAATTATAAATTTTCTACCTTATGTAAAATAGTAACAAACATTCAAACTTCTGCAGACTTAGTATTTTGTTGCAAGTGTACCAGGTTACTGATCTATCTGATCTTTTCCTTTTAGTTTTGGTTTTCTAACCCATAGTAGTTATGCTGATAGTGGAATTCCCTATTTGATTCTGCAAACTTTTCTTACAGGAAAAGTAAGTTAAAGAATATGTTTAAAGCAACCATTTGATAAGCTGATGTGATTCTATTTATCTCTGTCCTCTGTGTTTCTGTAATGGAATTTTTACAATTCCAAAAGCAATTTATTAGAACTACTGGAAATCCTTGATAAACAGATATATGATTCTGCCACTGAGGGAGAGAAATTAAAATATTCGTTTTTCTTATAGTGGTTTGTTTTTGTTTCATAAAGAGAAATTGGTCTCATATGGCAGCATAGATGCTTATAAATAAAAGCATTATCCTTCTGTAGTCCACAGCTTACCTGCATTCACTGGTTAATAACATTATGAGCATTCTGTAAAGTAAGCTCATGTTCAGTGTCAATGTAAATGTTAGCACCAAAATTAATTCCTCTGAAAACTGAAATTAAATGTCAAAGACAACTAGTCATAACTTAAGATGGTGAGAGTGTTTTCTTTCTAGTCAGTCACGAAGGTGTGTGTATGTGGTGATTTTGAAGTGTCATCAGGTATCTGGCCAAGACAAGAGTGATTGTTAATAGTGACCTTGTCCATAGAGTTTTTAAGAAATGTTGGGTGACATTGGTGTCCTTTTTCTAATTATGAGGGCTGGCAAGTGATTAAAAAATATTGCTAAGGCCCCTCTTGTGGGATAATAGGTACTGGAATTCTGCATCAGGTTTGAGCACTAATGTATGTGAAGCTTCAGTACCTGCTTGGGGCTCAAGAGAACCAGGGTCAGTACATCTGCCTTTAAGTTCACCTTGCAGTAGGGCTGGAATCTGCATAATCAAAAGTTGACTATTTAAAAAAAATAGTCTGAATAGATCTCAAGGAAGAGAAATGGAAAGTTTTAGTTCTCTGATAGTTGAAACTGAAAAACCTAAATCACTGTAGAAAACTGTACTGCTTCTGAGAAATACCTCCACAGGTTGAAAAAGATTTCAGACAGTTGCTGGGATTGTGTTCCAATTCCAGTCCTGTACCCGTTGCTATGGTAATGTCTATATCACACACAATAGGTAAAATCAGGGCAAATCATCTTTCATAGACTTTTTGAAACTCGATTGTAAAATGATGTTCATGCCTGTCTGACAGGCTTATTGTCACCAATGGGATGATGATAATGGCAGTGGGCATGAGGATAATTGAAGAACAGATGCAAATGTATACAGTGCTGCATCTATCCCATTCTTGCTGAAGTGAAACTGGGATTTTCACTTTCTTCCAGCTATTTCAGAAACTGTATGTTCTTTACCCAACTGTTCTAATAATTTTCTGTCGGTGAAAAAACACTCTATTTCAGTTATGGTCAAAGTAAGTAATGAGATATTCCAAGGATCTCCATGATTTAATATACTCGTGTTCTATCAGTACATAAGATATTATTTCAGATAGCATATTTTTCCTCCTATATTGCTTTTCAGACCTTTGCTTTCCTTGTTGTCTTTTCCCTGAAATTGCTATTTTCCGTTATCAAATATTCTTTTCTTCCTTCTTCATTGTCTTAGCTTAACCCATTTAACTGGGTTCTTATGGATTTATACAGTGTATTTTGACTTTGTCAGAAGACTTGATTATTGATGTTGACTTGTCAGAGAACTCAACTTATCCAAAATAAGTGTTAGGTAGGGAGGCTCTCCAAGTACTTGAGAGGCTGAGCTGAGAATCCAAGATAACATTAGATTGGGTTGCAGTGTTAACTAGAGCTAGTACTTTATTCTTCCCCATCTAGTACTGTTGTCTGAAGAGAAAAGGTTACTGCATATTGACGAGTTAAGTAATATTTGAGGAGTATTGTAAAACACAACTCTAATGGTGAATTTATTCAAAGCAAAACACCTGTACCTGAACCTTTCTTGACTTAAGTACTTACTAGCATTTGTACTACAGCCTCAGGTACCCTTATAGAGTTAATGTTTTCACTTTAGTGTTTGAAAAGTCGTAAAGAATTTTCTTAATCTTTTAACATTTTAAAGGTTTCCCTTAAAATTTTTAAAGTAACCTTTTAAAAATGTATTCCTTTCTAGATACAGTCATCAGCCTAAGAGTTCACAGTAGGAACCCCACTTCCATTGATGTCAGCAAGTTGGCAAATCACTCAACAGGGTAATAAAACCCTCACCACCATCTCCTAGGGTTGTTAAGACTAAATGAGTTGAAACTACTAAAATTCTTTTACATGCAAATCCATAGTGTGTGTTCGATAAGTAATGGGATATTTTTTACATGATAGCCATTGTCATGTAAATGAAAGGATGTCTAAATGCATAACAAATTTCAGAAGTTCAGTGTAGTTATACTGGTAGAATATGAATTCTGACAATCAATGTAATTTGATATATTTAATAATGAAGTGATTTTAGGATTTCAAAGAGTAACATTTTAACCTTCAAGGAATTTCTTTCTTTTATTTTTATTTATTTGTTTGTTTGTTTGTTTGAGAACTGGTCTCACAAAGTTGCTCAGGGCTTTTGCTGAATTGCTGAGGCTGGCTTTGAACTTGGAATCCTCCTGCCTCAGCCTCCCAAGCCACTAGGATTACAGGCTTGTGCTAGCATACCCAGCTCAAGGAATTCTTGGAATCTATTTCCTTGCTATCCTGTCACCAGGGTCTTCTTGGTTTAAGAGTTTTTCTATGTATCATAGGAGAAAATGGAATAACAATGATTTCAGAAAAGAAGTCTTGCAGCTAAGTAAATCCTAGACTTCATTACTGACATCCTTCTGAACTCTACTTTTATTCCAGCAAACCTGTCTGCACTCCTACATCACACAAACTCTAGAAAAGCATGTCAGTCCCTTAGCCTAAGAACCCACAGAGCCAAGGAGCAGGGGGATAATGCACATTTCTGGGAAGATAGCAGCTAACATAGGGGAGCTGTTTTTGTCTTTAACCACTTCCTCCTATTTTATAACTTCCACTCTCCAAGTTGGAGACATTAAGCTGTCAGGTAAGCCACTCATATCTGGAAGTCCAGTATTATATTGTTACATAATTTAAATAAGAAGCC